ACAGTTCTAACATTCTGAATCCCAACCTTCTCAATCCCAACCATGTGAAACCCAACGTAATTCTAGGCGTTCGAAAACAAATTGGTCTATTGAAGAAGATGAAGCATTATGCAAAGCATGGGTTGACATTGGGGAAGATCCAATAACGGGTTCGGATTAGAAGCAAATCACATATTGGGGACGAGTCCGTGAAAATTTTATTCGGCAACCAGAGGGCACGACGTCCCGAAATGTACTAGGTTTGCAAAATCGTTTCTCACACATTAAAACAAAAGTGGGAAAATTTTCTAGATATTACAAACAGATCTAACATCATATTCCTAGTGGCTTCAACGTTGAAGATGCAGTAAGTTTTTTACTTTGTAAATTTTTAAATATATATATATATTTTTATTGGCAATCTAACTAATTTAATTTAATTTTTTTTATTTTTTTATAGCTCATTGAAGCAAGAAATTTATTTAAAGTGTCAGAAAATGAGCCATTTAAGTTGGACCACTGTTGGTGTATTTTAAAGAATTCGTCAAAATGGAAGTCGACTTCCAACAGCAATGACAAAGGGAAAATCAAAAGAGTAGTGGAGATCGATATGAATGAGCCTAGTGATTGGCCAGAAACTGTTCAACATACTTCGTCAATAGTCCAAACCAATCCATCTACTCCGTCAACACCTGGAGTATCAACACCAGGTTCAGTAAACCTTGGCGACGACGATTCGCTTGCAATTAGTGTTGAAAGTTTGCATGGCATTGTACGACCTCCTGTACGAAAAGCATGTAAGAAGGGTCGCAAAAAAAGCAAAAAGGAGGTAAAACATAACTTATTTCTAGAACAATTTAAAGATTTTACCCATCAAAGTGAGTTGATGAATGCCTTGGTAGTCGAATCTCAAAAAATGAAATTGAAAGCTACATTCGATTTAGGCTTGGAGCAAGAACATGTAAAAAGAATGGAGATTGAGGCGCAAAAAGAAATGAAAAAGTTGGAATTTGAGCAGAAGTGACTTGATTTCGAAAGAGAAATGATGCTTAAAAGTCCAAATTATGCTCCAATAGTAGCAGCAAAAGCATGGATCATTGATCAACAAAATGAAATTTATGCACGTTTCAGTAAAAGGGATAATTTGTGAAGCTATGTAATGTAATTTTCTTTTTCTACCTATGGGAAGCTAATGTAATGTAATTTTTTTTTTCTATCTGTGGGAAGTTAACGTAATGTAATTTTCTTTTTCTATCTGTGAGAAGCTAATGTAATTTTTATTTATATATGTAATGGATATTTATTCAAATCATAATTTCTTTAAATTTCTTAACAAATCTAATCGAAACAAATAATTTTTAAAATATTGTTTATTCATCAGCAATATGAAAATTACATTTTATTCTACTTCAACAAATTTAAAAATCTTCATTACCAAATTTATTCCACAAATGTTCCATGAGATCTCTCCTAAGATCGGCATTGTCTAATCTATTGCTAATCCTACTTAGGCGAGAGGAAATGTGTGTCGCCAACATTGATGGGTTTCGAATATAATGTGGAAGAGAGATTGGGTCATTTGTCGGAGGTGTCCATTGCAAAATGTATTCGCCCTCGTCTTCAATGATCATATTGTGTAATATGATGCACGTTCTCATTATCTTGTTTAGATCTTCTGTATTCCAATAAAGTACCGGTTAATTCGTTATAGCCCACCTCATCTGTAACATGCCGAATGCCCATTCTACATCATTCCTAACGGCTTCTTGTTTGTCAGCAAATAATTTCTCTTTGACTGTTGTTAGGTGCGGGATGGTCTGCATCAAAGTTGCCCACTTAGAATATATACCATTAGATAGGTAATACCCCATTATACGCCGATGCCCATTCACCACGTAATTAACTGGAGGCATTGAACCATTGATCATGCTCTTGAATACTGGGGAATGATCGAGAACATTCAAGTCATTGTGTGAACCAGCCATACCAAAGAAAGCATCCAGATCCACAGATTTTTCGATGCAACGGCCTCCAATATGAGGGTAGGTTTATGGCTTCTTCCCATGTGTGTGCCATGCCATGCTGTGGGGCAATTCTTCCATTCCCAATGCATACAATCTATAAAGCCAAGCATACCTGGAAAACCTCTATCTTCTCCTTCTCGAAGCAGACGTACAATGTCATCTGCATTTGGTGAGCGTTGATACTGCTTCGCATACACAACAATTATAGCATCACAAAACCTATTCAAGCTTTCGATCGCAATGTGCTCAGAAATCTTTATATACTCATCACAAAGATCAGTTGAAATTCCATATGAGAGTATACCGATTGCAGCAGTCATCTTCTGTATATGAGTGAACCCCATACGATCGAGGGCATCGGGTTTCTGGATGAACCATTCGTCATATGTTGTAACACCATTCAAAATGAGAAGAAACAACTCTCGTCACATCCGAAACCTTCTACGAAATATGTTTGGTGGATAAATCGGATTTTCAGCAAAGTAATCGCGGAATACCCGTTGTGCTGCCTCCTCTCGATCACATTTAATATACTTTCTCTTACGAGGTTGAAAGAATGCCCACACCTTATCAGGCGATAATAATCTACTCATGTCGTTCATCCTTTTTCGATGGATTTCAAAAATATCTTCCCCATCTGAATCTGACGAATTCAATGGAGAAATAGACTCAGAGATGGGTATATCTCATGACGATAAAGCCATTATTTTTTTGTATAAGAAATATGAAGACTCAAAGAATAGAGAATGGGCTTGAGAATGCATAGAAGTGGACTTGATAATTGAAAGAAGATAGAATTGAAAAAAGATAGAATTAGTGGTTTATATAGAAATTAAAAGAACAAATAATGGACTTGAGAATGCAAAGAAGTTGATTTCATAATTGAAAGAAGATAGAATGAGTGGTTTATATAGAAATTGAAATATAGTCGTTAGAATATAGCTGTTGGGAATATAGCCGTTGAGAAGAAAACAAAAAATTATTAAATTCAAATTCAAATTATTTTATTTTATTTTTAAATTAAATTAATAAAATAATAATAAAATAATAAATGGAGAATGAGATAATTGGGTTCCACACCATGGAACATATGCATAAAAAAAGTAAAGTACCACATCATTACTTTTTAGCTTACGTGACACTCTACTTTTTAAAAAGTAGATAGATAATTTGTGTTGCCCACAGCACTTGCTCTAAGAGGAGCAGGAGCTGAATTGAGATGAGAGATGAAGAAAAGTTGTAATAATTTAGTGGGTCCCACTAATGAGACTTGTTGACCACTTTTTCTCTAGCTTTGTTCACGTGGGTTTGGAGTAAGCTTTTGGTATAATGATGTGAAGATATGGACGAAGTCATTATTATTTTTGACTTATGATATTTGATATTATATATATATATATATATTGTATCTTGCCAAAGGGTGTACCTGGTGCCGAAAAATAGAAAAGGTAGAAAAAAAAAAGAATGGGAATTCGTGGGTCCCACAAATTGAAATAAAAAGAATTGAAAATATAGGAAAGGAAGGAAAAGATAAGGTTGATAAGGAAAGTATGGGTGGCGGGACCCAGTTGAATTTTTTGAATTGATATTTGTGCATTGTATCGGTTCATTTGTTTTATAAATTGAGAGTGTTGTGTGTACTACAAAATAAACAAACAGAATAGTGAAAAATTAAAGAGTGAGAGCAGAGATGGACAGTGTGGCCTGAGAGTTCACAGAGGGCCGAGATTGAAGAGGGACAGAGTGTGAGCCGAGAGTCTGCAGAGGAGGCCGGAGGTTTAAGGACTTGGTGATCCAGTGCGAGAATTTTTTTTCAATGTAGGGTTCTCTATATCTTAAATGGCTTGGAGTGGTTTTGCTTCAATGGTTTTGATTAAATTTTTTGATTAAATGTTTTAATTAAATGCATATGTATTTTGCTTATATACTAACACGACTATGTATATTTTGTCAAGTTGTTTTATTAAACTTCCATGAAATTCTTGTTATGGTTTTTCTTACTGGGACTTTTGTCTCACCACCCTCCAGTTTCAGGTACCGAAAATGAACGAGAATTGCTAGATTTGGGCTTAGGCTGAAGAGTCGGTGTTGCAGGATTTAATTTATTTTATTTGGAGAATTTTTGTATATTTGAGGAAATGACTTTGTACAAAAGAGGGCATTTATTTTGTGATCCTGGGTATATTTTGATGTACTTGGATTTGTATAAATCGAAGATTTTATTAGAATTTTCGGGTCTTGACAAAATGGCATCAGAGCTTGTACCCAGCAGGAAGTGTGAGTGTAGTGATGTTGTAGACTGGTGTGAGTGGGCGAGTATGTAGTACTGGCGAGCTAACACTCGTAGCTGGGTGTGTGTGGGCGGATGGCTGTCACTGGCAGCCACTGGGATGGTTGGTTAGTGTGGTTGGGCAGGTAGCCCAGATTTGTTGTTATTTTTTTTAGTGGGTAGGCGGGTGACGCATCAACTAGCTACCACAACAGTTACGGTGTGTGTGGGCGGGTGACTAGCACTGACAGCTACCATAACGTCCTATATATCACTGTATCTCACATTGCCTGGGGTAAGGATTTGGATTTTGGTTTTCAGGTTGTTGGTGTTTTTGGGTGCATGAACTGTTGGATTTGAATTTTGAGGACGAAATTCTTTTTAAGTGGTGAAGATTGTGATGACCCAAATTTTTAGAATTTTAATTTAATTATTTTATGATGTTTAAAGTATCTAAATTAATTAATTATTTATTAAAATTAGTGGGTTTTGAATATTGATTTAATTTTGTTCTCTATATATATATTTATGTGTATTGTATTTATAATGGAGGTAGGAAATGGAAAGGAGTAGTTGTCTAGTCGAGTTTACTGGAAAGAGAGAAATTGTGATGATGTTCTGCGGGGGAGTTGTTTGGCCAATCTTTTGTACTTTTGATTTCTTCACATGGGTATTGATTTGTTTTTAAATTACATTTGTATATTTTATATATATATATATATATATATATATATATATATATATATATATTGTGTCAGTCAGAAGGATTAAGAGAGCAGGAGCTGAATTGAGATGAGAGATGAAAAAAAAGTTGTAATAATTTAGTGGGCCCCACTAATGAGACTTGTTGGCCACTTTTTCTATAGCTTTGTTCACGTGGGTTTGGAGTAAGCTTTTGGTATAATGATGTGAAGATATGGAGGAAGTCATTATTATTTTTGACTTATGATTTTGATATTATTATTTCTTTATATATATATATATATATATATTTTGTATCATGCCAAATGGTGTACTTGGTGCAGAAAAATAGAAAAGGTAGAAAGAAAAGAATGGGAATTCGTGGGTCCCACAAGTTGATTTTCTTAGTTGGCTTCATGTGGGTTTCTGATAGAGTGTATTTGAAATAAAAAGAATTGAAAAGATAGGAAAGGAAGGAAAATATAAGGTTGATAAGGAAAGTATGGGTGGCGGGACCCAGTTGAATTTTTTTGAATTGATATTTGTGCATTGCGTCGGTTCATTTGGCTTATAAATTGAGAGTGTTGTGTGTACTGCAAAATAAACAAATAGAATAGAGAAAAATCAAAGAGTGAGAGCAGAGATGGACAGTGAGGTCTGAGAGTTCACAGAGGGTCGAGATTGAGGAGGGACAGAGTGTGAGCCGAGAGTCTGCAGAGGAGGCCGGAGGTTTGAGGACTTGGTGATTTAGTGCGAGAATTTTTTTTCAATGTAGGGTTCTCTATATCTTAAATGGCTTGGAGTGGTTTTGCTTCAATGGTTTTGATTAAATGTTTTGATTAAATGTTTTAATTAAATGCATATGTATTTTGCTTATATACTCACATGACTATGTAAATTTTGTGAAGTTGTTTTATTAAACATCCATGAAATTCTTGTTATGGTTTTTCCTACCGGGACTTTTGTCTCACCACCCTCCAGTTTCAGGTACCGAAGATGAACAAAAATTGCTAGATTTGGGCTTAGGCTGAAGAGTCGGTGTTGCAGGATTTAATTTATTTTATTTGGAGAATTTTTGTATATTTGAGGAAATGACTTTGTACAAAAGAGGGCATTTATTTTGTGATCCTGTGTGTATTTTGATGTACTTGGATTTGTATAAATAGAAGATTTTATTAGAATTTTCGGGTCGTGACAAAATGGTATCAGAGCTTGTACTCAGCCGGAAGTGTGAGTGTAATGATGTTGTAGACGGGTGTGAGTGGGCAAGTGTGTTGTACTGGCGAGCTACCACTCGTAGCCGGGTGTGTGTGGGCGGATGGCGGTCATTGGCAGCCACTGGGATGGTCGGTTAGTGTGGTTGGGCAGGTAGCCCAGATTTGTTGTTTTTTTTAGTGGTAAGCGGGTGACACATCGACTAGTTACCACAACGGTTATGGAGTGTATGGGCGGGTGACTAGCACTGGTAACTACCATAACGTCCTACATATCACTGTATCTCACATCGTCTGGGGTAAGGATTTGGATTTTGGTTTTGTGATTGTTGGTGTTTTTGGATGCACAAACTGTTGGATTTAAATTTCGAGGACGAAATTCTTTTTAAGTGGTGGAGATTGTGGTGACCCAAATTTTTAGGATTTTAATTTAATTATTTTATGATGTTTAGATTGTCTAAATTAATTAATTATTTATTAAAATTAGTAGGTTTTGAATTTTGATTTAATTTTGTTCTCTATATAAATATTTATGTGTATTGTATTTATGATGGAGGTAGGAAATGGAAAGGAGTAGTGGTTTAGTCGAGTTTACTAGAAAGAGAGAGAAATTGTGATGATGTTCTGCGGGGGAGTTGTTTTGCCAATCTTTTGTACTTTTGATTTCTTCACATGGGTATTGATTTGTTTTTATATTACATTTGTAGATATGTGCATATATTGTGTCAGTCAGAAGGATTAAGAGGAGCAGAAGCTGAATTGAGATGAGAGATGAAGAAAAAGTTGTAATAATTTAGTGGGCCCCACTAATGAGACTTGTTGGCCACTTTTTCTATAGCTTTGTTCACGTGGGTTTGGAGTAAGCTTTTGGTATAATGATGTGAAGATATGGAGGAAGTCATTATTATTTTTGACTTATGATTTTTGATATTATTATTTCTTTATATATATATATATATTTTGTATCATGCCAAATGGTGTACTTGGTGCAGAAAAATAGAAAAGGTAAAAAGAAAAGAATGGGAATTCGTGGGTCCCACAAGTTGATTTTCTTAGTTGGCTTCATGTGGGTTTCTGATAGAGTGTATTCGAAATAAAAAGAATTGAAAAGATAGGAAAGGAAGGAAAATATAAGGTTGATAAGGAAAGTATGGGTGGCGGGACCCAGTTGAATTTTTTTGAATTGATATTTGTGCATTGCGTCGGTTCATTTGGCTTATAAATTGAGAGTGTTGTGTGTACTGCAAAATAAACAAATAGAATAGAGAAAAATCAAAGAGTGAGAGCAGAGATGGACAGTGAGGTCTGAGAGTTCATAGAGGGTCGGGATTGAGGAGGGACAGAGTGTGAGCCGAGAGTCTGCAGAGGAGGCCGGAGGTTTGAGGACTTGGTGATCTAGTGCGAGAATTTTTTTTCAATGTAGGGTTCTCTATATCTTAAATGGCTTGGAGTGGTTTTGCTTCAATGGTTTTGATTAAATGTTTTGATTAAATGTTTTAATTAAATGCATATGTATTTTGCTTATATACTCACACGACTATGTAAATTTTGTGAAGTTGTTTTATTAAACTTCCATGAAATTCTTGTTATGGTTTTTCCTACCGGGACTTTTGTCTCACCACCCTCCAGTTTCAGGTACCGAAGATGAACAAGAATTGCTAGATTTGGGTTTAGGCTGAAGAGTCGGTGTTGCAGGATTTAGTTTATTTTATTTGGAGAATTTTTGTATATTTGAGGAAATGACTGTGTACAAAAGAGGGCATTTATTTTGTGATCCTGGGTGTATTTTGATGTACTTGGATTTGTATAAATAGAAGATTTTATTAGAATTTTCGGGTCGTGACAAAATGGTATCAGAGCTTGTACCCAGCCGGAAGTATGAGTGTAATGATGTTGTAGACGGGTGTGAGTGGGCGAGTGTGTTGTACTGGCGAGCTACCACTCGTAGCCGGGTGTGTGTGGGCGGATGGCGGTCATTGGCAGCCACTGGGATGGTTGGTTAGTGTGGTTGGGCAGGTAGCCCAGATTTGTTGTTTTTTTTAATGGGTAAGCGGGTGACGCATCGACTAGTTACCACAACAGTTATGGAGTGTATGGGCGGGTGACTAGCACTGGCAGCTACCATAACGTCCTACATATCACTGTATCTCACATCGCCTGGGGTAAGGATTTGGATTTTGGTTTTGTGATTGTTGGTGTTTTTGGGTGCACAAACTGTTGGATTTGAATTTCGAGGACGAAATTCTTTTTAAGTGGTGGAGATTGTGATGACCCAAATTTTTAGGATTTTAATTTAATTATTTTATGATGTTTAGATTGTCTAAATTAATTAATTATTTATTAAAATTAGTAGGTTTTGAATTTTGATTTAATTTTGTTCTCTATATAAATATTTATGTGTATTGTATTTATGATGGAGGTAGGAAATGGAAAGGAGTAGTGGTTTAGCCGAGTTTACTAGAAAGAGAGAAAAATTGTGATGATGTTCTGCGGGGGAGTTGTTTTGCCAATCTTTTGTACTTTTGATTTCTTCACATGGGTATTAATTTGTTTTTATATTACATTTATATATATATATATATATATATATATATATATATATATATATATTGTGTCAGTCAGAAGGATTAAGAGGAGCAGAAGCTGAATTGAGATGAGAGATGAAGAAAAAGTTGTAATAATTTAGTGGGCCCCACTAATGAGACTTGTTGGCCACTTTTTCTATAGCTTTGTTCACGTGGGTTTGGAGTAAGCTTTTGGTATAATGATGTGAAGATATGGAGGAAGTCATTATTATTTTTGACTTATGATTTTTGATATTATCTATATATATATATATATATATATATATATTTTGTATCCTGCCAAAGGGTGAACCTGGTGCCGAAAAATAGAAAAGGTAGAAAGAAAAGAATGGGAATTCGTGGGTCCCACAAGTTGATTTTCTTGGTTGGCTTCACGTGGGTTTCTGATAGAGTTTATTTGAAATAAAAAGAATTGAAAAGATAGGAAATGAAGGAAAAGTTAGAGTTGATAAGGAAAGTATGGGTGGCAGGACCCAGCTAAATTTTTTTGAATTGATATTTGTGCATTGTGTCGGTTCATTTGGCTTATAAGTTGAGAGTGTTGTGTGTACTGCAAAATAAACAAACAGAATAGAGAAAAATTAAAGAGTGAGAGCAGAGATGGACAGTGAGGTTTGAGAGTTCACGGAGGGCCGAGATTGAGGAGGGACAAAGTGTGAGCCAAGAGTCTGCAGAGGAGGCCGGAGGTTTGGGGACTTAGTGATCTTGTGCGAGAATTTTTTTTCAGTGTAGGGTTCTTTATATCTTGAATGGTTTGGAGTGGTTTTGCTTCAATGGTTTCGATTAAATGTTTTGATTAAATGTTTTAATTAAATGCATATATATTTTGCTTATATACTCACATGACTATGTATATTTTGTGAAGTTCTTTTATTAAACCTCCATGAAATTCTTGTTATTGTTTTTCCTGGGACTTTTGTCTCACCACCCTCCAGTTTCAGGTACCGAAGATGAACGGGAATTGCTAGATTTGGGTTTAGGCTGAAGAGTCGGTGTTGCAGGATTTAATTTATTTTATTTGGAGAATTTTTGTAAATTTGAGGAAATAACTTTGTATAAAAGAGGGCATTTATTTTATGTTCCTGGTTGTATTTTGATGTACTTGGATTTGTATAACAGTAATACTTCAATTTCTTCCCCAAGTTTAAAATGTTGTGTTCATATTTTACAACACTCCGTTGTAAATTGGAATTGTCACCATCAATGACCAGAGTACAATTAAAGAAGGAACTGTACATGTTAGTCTTTCTCCATTTTCTTGGCAACCAAAACGATAGGGAAGACAAAAGCTCATGGTTGTTTTTTTATCCTTGTTTAGTGTGGCAAATCTTTGGGCTTTGCAAGATACTCGAGTATTATCTTCGTTAAAAGTATCTAATCATCGGTCAAGTGAATGGTGAGAGTTTGAATCTCTAAAAGAGCGAAATGCATGTGTGAGTGGTGTGAATGAGTTTCTTACCAATGACCCGCCCCCCCCCCCCCCCCCCCGGCAAAAAAAAATTGCACTCTTCTCTTTGTGAATTTTTTTCATTTATAACAACTGTTTCTCAATCATCTCACGTACCCAATAATACCTAACATCAATGTGCTTTGTGCGGGAAAAAATGCATCACATTCTTGCTTAAGTCGATAGCACTCTATCACAGAATACTACATAGTCTTCATGTTTCAAACCTAATTTTTGAAGGAATCTTTTCATCCACAATAATTCTTTATTTGCTTCAGTAGTAGTGTTAATATAAAGATTCTGTATATCTTATTATAACTGTTGTATACTGATTCTTGCTGTGATTCTTACCGTGATTTTATCTTAATCACAATTGTATAGCTGTTGCACAATAGCCTATAAATAGGCTCCTTTGTACATGCTCCAAAAATAATTCAATATACATCAATTCTATATCTCTCTCATATTGCATCTTTGTCTCTCTAACTCTGTTAATCAACATGGTATCAGAGCCACGAATTAATGGCCTGAATCATTCCACTTACTGTACCTCTGAAATTCAGTCTCAAAATTTCACAAACTCTCTGCTGCCGTCACCACTGCTCTCTGCCATCGCGGCTTTCTGCTGTTATAAACTCTCTGCCGCCGTCGCCGATCGTTGCCGCCGATCTCTGCCGACATCGTCAACACACCACTGCTCTCTACCGTCGAGGCTCTCTGCCGCCACGGATCTCTGCCGTCATCGCGGATATCTGCCACAACTGAGCTCTGACGCCATCACCGATCTCTGCTCTCTGCCGTCGCTCCATCTACCGCCTCTGTCCTTCACCCTCATCACCGATCTCTGCTCTCTGCTATTGCTCCATCTGCCGCCTCTGTCCTTCACGCTCATCACCGATCTCTGCTCTCTGCTATTGCTCCATCTGCCGCCGATATCTGCTTGATTAAAGGCTCTGTCAAAGCTCTGCATATAGTTTTTCTTTTTTAGAGAAAGATAAAAGCGTCCTGATTAAAGGCTCTTGGAACCCCTCCGTACCATTACTCCACCGATATCTTCTATCATTATTTTTCTTACATATATATTTATATAATATTACACACACACACACACATATATATATATATATATGAATATATATATATTTTTTCTCACTCTATCAGTTAGGTACACGTCTCATATATTTTCAAGTTATGAACTGGTCCAAAATTTCTCATCCTATTGGCACTACATTAGAGGGCTGTTCAAATTATATTCTTTGGACCCAAGCCATGACCAACTTTCTCAAAGGTAAAAAATTATGGCACATTGTCACTAGTAATATCCTCGAGCCTGTGCGAGAGGAAACTGAAACAAAAGAAAAATATGGTGACCATCTTGAAGAATGGGATAACAAAAATCATCAGATTATCACTTGGTTTCGCAATACCTCTATCTCATCCATTAGTATAGAATTAGGTCGTTTCGATTCTGTAAAACAATCTGGAATTTTTTGAAGCATCATTACACCACCACTGATCTTGCCCATCATTATTAACTTCTGACCAATCTTCACAGCAAAACTCAATAGTTTGGTCAATCTATCAGCACTTTTGTCTCTGAAATGCATGCTATTTGGGATCAACTATCTCTTTTTGAACCCATTTGGTCATATGCTTCTGATGCTACAAAGTTTACTACCTATCGAGATCAACAACGTGTCATCATGTTTCTCATGGCTCTTCAACCTTCATTTGAACCCGTTCGAGCCTCTCTCCTTCATCGGCATCCTCTGCTTACCTTAGAAGATGCTATAACCGAGCTTCTTTCAGAAGAAACTCGTCTGAGTACATCTCAACCTCCGGCCTCAGATGCAGTTCTTGCTACTCATTATCATAGAAAGCAATTGACGTCATCTTTTTCCTCTCCAAGGGAGTGTAACTACTGTCACAAAACAGATCATGTCGTATTAACTTGTCCCACCAGAGTTTGCAAGTTTTATCATAAGAAAGGCCCAGGTCACTACCAGAGTGATTGTCCCAAGAACTAGCAATCTCGCACCAATTCTTCTAAAGGTTCTTCATCTAGACATAATTATCCATCTTCCTCTATCACTGCTGCCACCGCTGAAGGATATTGTCCTCCTACTTATACAGTTGCATAAATGTCCACCAACGATATCGAGGCCCTTCTAAGACAAATTATCTCCAATAATGGTACTCCTTCTTCCACTGCCATGTCAGTTACCCCAGGTAATTCTTGGTTTTTTGATTCTGGCTGCTGTAATCATATGACCTCTGATTCTACAATATTTTCTAAACATCATCCTGCCATCAATACACCTACAATTCATACAGCTGATGAATCTCACTTACATGTTAATCACGTCGGTCAAATTTCCACTCCCAATGTCTCACCCTCAAATACCTTTCATATACCAAAACTTACAATTAATCTTATCTCTGTTGGTCAGATATGTGAACTTGGACTTAATGTCATTTTTTCTTCGTCTGGTTGTCATGTACAGGATCCACAGACGGGGCAGACCTTTGGGATAAGCCGTAAAGTGGGACGTCTCTTTGAGCTCATCCATCTCCGCATTCCTTCTTATCGGCTCTTTATAGTTTCCACTATTGCTTCAGTAACCTATACTCCTTCATTTAGCCTTTGGCATTCCCGATTAGGTCATGTATCTATTGGGCGTTTATGCTCCTTAGTGTCAACCTGTCAATTAGGTTCATTTAAAAATGATGATATAACTTGTTTACCTTGTCAACTTGTAAAACAACATGCTTTACCTTTTAATAAAATCACATCTATTACTACTGCTCCTTTTGACTTAGTTCATTCTGATGTATGGGGACCTTCTCCTCACACTACAATAGGGGGATCCAAAATACTTTGTTATTTTCATTGATGACTACTCACGATTTACCTGCCTATATCTCATGAAAAATTGCTCTGAATTACCCCAACTTTACTATGATTTTGCAAACATGGTCAAAACCCAATTTTCCCAATCCATCAAGATCTTCCGCGCTGATAATGCTATGGAGTACAATGAAACAAATTTTCTAAAATTTCTTTGCTAACATGACACGATTTCTCACTCTTCTTGTCCTGGCACATCCTAACAAAATGGGCGGGCTGAACGTAAACATAGGCATATCTTAGACACTGTTCGCTCCCTCCTAATATCCAGTTCATGTCCTAAACATTTTTGGGGGGAAGCAGCTCTCACTGCCGTATACACCATCAACCGTGTTCCCATGCCTATTATTGAAAATCAATCTCCCTATGAATGATTATATGGGATCTTTCCTGCTTATAATCTTCTCAAAGTTTTTGGATGTGCTTGTTTTCTCTTACTTCAGCCTTATGAACTTACCAAATTAGAGCCTTGGGCTCGTCTATGTTGTTTTCTAGGTTATGGAATTAAACACAAATGATACCGATGTTGGGATCCCATTTCCAGACGTCTTCGTGTCTCTCGTCATGTCATCTTTTGGGAACACAAAATGTTCTCTTCTCTTTCCAAGTTCCACATATCTCTATCTTCTACTCCCTTATTCTTTACTGATTCTTTAGTTGAACTCTTACCGGACAACATAGATACAATATCTTCATATGAGCTTCCAAACACTATCTCTTCTACTCCAGAAACAACGTCTTCATCTGAGCTCCCATAAATGGCCTTACCTAACGAATTTGTTTCATCTGATGGTCCTGCTGAATCTTCTTCATTAGATACCATCACTACTGCTCAACCTCCTCGCAAATCTGATCGGGTAAGAAAACCTCCTAGTCATTTACGTGATTTTCAGTGTTTCTCTACTATCATGTCTCATCATGAGCCTCAATCCTATCGTGAGGCTAGCTCTAACCCCCATTAGCAGCAAGTTATGACAGAAGAACTACAGGCTCTCACACAAGCTCATACCTGGGATATGGTTGCTCTTCCCTTTGAAAAAACTGTTGTTGGCTGTAAATGGGTTTACAAAATCAAAACTCATTCTGATGGTTCAGTAGAATGATATAAAGTTCGTCTGGTTGCAAATGGCTTCACCCAAAAATATGGCATTGACTATGAGGAAACATTTGCCCTTCTTGCTCGACTTACTTCTGTCCGTAGCCTATTGGCTGTTGCAGCAGCTTGTAAGTGGGAATTATTTCAAATGGATGTGAAAAATGCCTTTCTCAATGGTGATCTCACTGAAGAAGTATATATGAAACCTCCTCCAGGATATGACCATTCTCCACATCAAGTCTGTAAGCTCCGTCAAGCACTATATAGTCTTAAACAAGCTCCAAGAGCTAGGTTTGCAAAATTTAGTTCTACAATTGGAGATTTTGGATTTACCTCAAGCTCATATGATTCTAGCCTTTTTATCCGCAAGATTGACTCTGGTATTACTTTTCTCTTACTTTATGTTGATGACATGATATTCACTGGCAATGATCTTGCAAGTATCTCTTACTTTATGAAGGATTTTGGGCACCTCCACTATTTCCTAGGCTTGGAGATTCTCTTTGATTCGGATGGCTATTATCTCTCCCAAGCCAAGTATTCTTCTGACATTCTTGCTCGTGCTGGTATCACTGATTGCAAGACAGCTTCTACTCCACTTGAGACCAATGTTAAGCTCACTTCTC